TGGTTCTTCAATTTTCAGGAGATCAATGGAAGGGTTGTCTATATGGGTAATGATAATGCCTGTAAGACAACTGGGATAGGTTCAATCCGTTTGAAGAATCGCAATGGTTCCACCAGAGTTTTGACGGATGTTCGGTACGTGCCGAGTTTGAAGAAAAACCTCATCTCATTAGGAGCCTTGGAATCCAAAGGCTTGGTAGTGACTTTGCGAGATGGAGTTATGAAGGCTACATCCGGCTCGCTCGTGGTGATGAAAGGCATCAGGAGGAATAATTTGTATTACTATGAAGGTGATACAGTTGTTGGGACAGTAAAAGTAGCAGATTCCACCAACAAGGAGTCTGAAAAAATCAAGTTGTGGCATATGCGTTTGGGACATGTTGGTGAAAAGTCCTTGCAAACATTGGCAAAACAAGGACTGTTGAAAGATGTCAATGTGTGCAAACTAGACTTTTGTGAGCACTGTGTTTTGGGAAAGCAGAAGAGAGTGAAGTTTGGAACAGCTATACATAATACCGAAGGTGTCTTGGATTATGTTCATTCGGATGTTTGGGGACCTTCTAAGACCCCATCATTAGGCGTAAGACGCTATTTTGTCACTTTCATCGATGACTTTTCCAGACGTGTTTGGGTGTACACTATGAAGACGAAGGATGAAGTGCTTGGTGTCTTCATTACATGGAAGACACAAATTGAGAACCAGACTGGAAGGAAGATCAAGGTCCTACGAACGGACAATGGTGGAGAATATACAAGCGATCCCTTTCAAGAAGTTTGTCGTAAAAATGGCATTGTTAGGCACTTCACCGTTAGACGGACACCACAACAAAATGGGGTGGCGGAGCGCATGAATCGAACATTGGTGGAGAAAGTTCGATGTATGTATTCCAATCCTGGTTTGGGCAAGGAGTACTGGGCTGAGGCTGTAACATACGCGCAACACCTCATAAATCGTTTGTCGTCATCTGTAAAAGATGGTAAAACACCGTTGGAGGTATGGTCAGGGAAACCTGTTGCTGACTATGGATCTTTACATGTCTTTGGGTGTCCTACGTTCTATCATGTGAAGGATTCAAAGTTAGATCCAAGAGCGAAAAAGGCTTTGTTCATGGGAATCACAATTGGCGTGAAGGGATGTCGTCTTTTGTGTCTTGAGACGAACAAAACTGTGTTTAGCAGGGATGTTACATTCGATGAACAAAGTATGATAAAGATGACGCAAACCCAAAGGTGGAATTGACACCGAAGAAGGTGGAGATAGATGCGATGACGAGACAACCAGCTATGATCGATGAAACAATATCAAACGATTCGTCGGATGATGAAGTTCAGACTCATGAATCATTATATTTACCCATTGCATTGAGAAAGCCTAGACGAGAGATTCAACAACCTGCTCGATTGGCGGATATGGTGGCTTATGCACTTCCAATTGTTGATGATGACATACCTTTCACTTTTCAAGATGCAATTCGAAGTTTAGAAAATGAGAAGTGGAAATGGGCTATGGAGGAAGAAATGTTGTCCCTCCAGAAGAATCAAACTTGGAAGGTGACGCAACTACCAAAAGGAAAGAGGGCGATAGGATGCAAGTGGGTATTTGCAAAGAAAGATGGATTTTCTCATAAGAATGATATGCGCTACAAGGAAAGGTTGGTGGCTAAAGGCTACGCTCAGAAGGAAGGAGTTGATTATAATGAAGTGTTTTCTCCAGTTGTTAAACACTCATCCATTAGAATTTTGTTGGCCTTAGCAGCACGGTTGGATTTAGAGCTAGCTCAACTTGACGTGAAGACGACGTTCTTACACGAAGATTTGGATGAGGAAATCTACATGACTCAGCCAGAAGGATTCAAAATTCTTGGAAAAGAGAATTGGGTCTGTAAGTTGAACAAATCTTTGTACGGACTGAAGCAATCTCCGAGGAAGTGGTACAAACAGTTTGATAAGTTTATGATTGGGCAGAAGTACACGCGAAGCAGACATGATCATTGTGTGTATTTACGCAAGCTGCAAGATGGATCTTTCATTTACTTACTCTTGTATGTGGATGACATGTTGGTTGCATCAAAGAGCCAAGTGGAGATTGATAAATTGAAGGCTCAGTTGAATCAAGAGTTTGAGATGAAAGACTTGGGGGAAGCTAAGAAGATACTCGGGATGGAGATAAGCAGGGACAGAATGAGAGGCAAGCTTTGTTTGAATCAGAAGCAATATCTGAATAAGGTACTACAGCATTTCGACATAAAAGATGAGTCGAAGCCTGTAAGTACACCATTTTCCCCTCATTTGAAGTTAAGTGCCCAATTGTCGCCAAATTGTGATGAAGAACGAGAGTACATGACTAGAGTCCCATATGCAAATGCAGTTGGCAGTTTGATGTATGCGATGGTATGTACAAGGCCCGACATTTCACAAGCAGTTGGTGTTGTTAGCAGGTATATGCATGACCCTAGTAAAGGTCATTGGCAAGTTGTGAAATGGATTCTACGGTACATTCATAGTACTGCAGACGTTGGATTGGTTTATGAGTAGAATGAATTTGGTCAGTGTGTAGTTGGAAATTGTGATTCTGACTACGCGGGTGATTTGGATAAGCGAAGATCAACGACTGGATATTTGTTCACTTTTGCAAAAGCTCCAGTCAGTTGGAAGTCTACCTTACAGTCAACAGTTGCTTTGTCTACAACAGAGGCAGAGTATATGGCGGTTACTGAAGCTGTGAAGGAGGCTATTTGGCTTCAAAGTTTGCTTGAAGACTTGGGAGTTGGTCAAAAGCACGTCTTAGTGCATTGTGACAATCAGAGCGCTATTCACTTAGCGAAAAATCAAGTATTCATGCAAGAACGAAGCATATTGATGTTCGCTATCACTTTGTGCGGGAGATTCTAGAAGATGGAACCGTTGTGTTGAAGAAGATCAAGACGACGGAGAATCCTGCAGATATGATGACCAAGGTAGTGACAGCAGTAAAGTTTGAACATTGTTTAGACTTGACCAACATTCTGCATATTTGAGTTGGCGCCAAGAGGCGCATTCGGAGGCACCGCTAGCAGTTGAGTTGGAAGTGGGAGCAAAATTAGTCAAAGGTGGAGAATTGTTAGTTTTGATTAATTGTTGTTCCACATCGGATGTATACCAAAGATGTGTAGGATCTTTTTAGTATAAATAGGTCCCTTGCCTTTGGGTTACAATTGCACCTTATTCTATTCTCTCCTATT